TCTAATAACTGATGGACACAGTAATATTTCAGTACTGAATTTAGGTTTATTGGACTAACAGAAAATGTGCAGTATGCATTAAAACTAAATTTGACAGGTGCAAAAATATGGGCACTTCAGCAAAAAAGAGACATTAATATTTGGTAGATCCTCCTTTTTCAAACACAACAACCTCTTGTTCCTCTGGATGCCTGAGTAGATTTGGAGCAGTGTTTTGGATCATTGTCTTGTTGAAATATCCATCCCTGGCGTAACCTTAACTTCGTAACTGATTCTTGATCATTATTCTCGAGAAGCTGCTGATATTGAGTGGAATGCATGCGACCTTCAACTTTAACAAGAGTTCCAGCATTGGTAGCACTGCCCCATCTTTTTTAATTTCTTTTCCAAATTATATATTTTAAATAATTTTTCAAACAGCATCTGTTTAACTTTTCCTTTTATTTGCAAAGGGCTTTTAACTTAATATTCTCTTCCTGGAAGGCCCAGGACTTGCTGGAGGGACAATTGCTCTGTTCGAAAACCTAGGATGCGTCCTTAGAAGGCCAGATTCGAAGGACGATTATGTCATAGCGTGGCGCCGAGGTCTGGTCGGATTCCAAGGGTCCTCGTTATGCGGCCTTAAAATGCATCCTTCTTTTTGCCCGATTTGAAGGACGGGTCCGATGTATCCTCGCTATCCTTGGATATCCCAGGATTCATTGCGAGACCAAGCAAGCCATGATTTGCTCCGTGATCAGAGGAAAGGTTACTTGGCGCCGAACAGTGGGGAAAATTGGAAGTTCAGTTTAATATAATCCAGTCTGTGAATAGTTCCGTCTGAAATGAATGAAAATAGTTGTTTAATGGTTATAGAGTCAGATATGTTGCGGTAATGTTTGATTTATCTAAAGGTTTTAATCTGTTACAGTGTAAATGGGTTTGGCTGGAATTTAAAGACAGATTCTAATATATTTGCAGTGTGGGGACTATAAATCTGATAGTTTAATATTCAACAACAAAAAAATACTTAGTTACGCATATTGTGCAGAACAGCAATAAAAAAATAGAGATTTTGCAGATATATTTTTATACATACATTGTTTAGATTTACTTAT